GGAGCAAGCAGGCCTCTGGCTAGGTGCAGGCCTCGCTGCCCAGACCAACAGCCCAAAGCATTAAGTGAAGGAAAACTTTATCTCTCCCATCGTAGTCCATGAAAGCAAACTGGGTGCTCTGTTTCTCCTCTTGTTTTGCTTTGGCTCTTCCTCCTGTGCCACGGGGTTCTAGCTCTGGTGGACATTGTGGCGGGCGGGGGTGCAGGGGTGGGGGCTGCATGCCTTCCTTTGCAGACCTAGATGGCATCCCTCCCGCTGCCATCTCTCCAGCCCAAGTGCGGTGACAAGGCTGCTCCCTGGAAGCGAGGCTGGGGCAGCCGAGGGTGCTGTGGGTTATTTAGTCTGCTGCATTGTATGGCGGGTCTCAGGCTCTGCGAGGTGGGTGTTTCTTACTGTACTGCACTCACAGTTCAGATTTTCTAATTTTTTAGAGAAGCTTTGGTTGGCACAAGTGGAAAGCAATACTTGCTTTTTAGTTTTCGCTGTTTAGATCCATACAGTCTGCTTGGTTTTGGTTAAACTGTGACAGTACAATGAGCTTTGATGCCGTTTGTTTGTGTGGTTGGTCTAGAGAGCAGTTCCCAAACTTTTTGCCCTCTTAAAAGTTCCTAGAGGGGCTGTGGGTGCAGTTCATGGCCAAAGGCTTGCCCAGCACATGAGGCCCCAAGTTGCATCCCCAGCATGGCAAAAGGAAAGAGAAAGATTCCTGGAGACACTAAAAGTCTTTGCTTATATGGATTATATCTATTTATGCTTATTATATTAAAAATTAAAACAAGGATCAGTGAGATAGCTCAGTGGACTAAGTGCCTGATGAGCCAACCATATGGATTGGGGTTCGAGCCCTGGCACCACAGGCTGCACTGGCCCTGCCCACATGTGCTGAGCTGGCCACTGAGACCAGTTGTGGTGGCACATGTCTGTAATCCCAGTGTGGGGGAGGCTGAAAACAGGAGGATCACTACGAGTCCCAGATGCATAGTGAGACCCTGTACCAAATACATTTAAAAAATAATAAAATAAAATGGACATTTATAAGAATCTGCAAATAAATATTCTACTGTGTGTGGTGTTTTTTTTTTTTTTTTTTTTTTTTTTTTAATGTGGAATTGGGGATTGAACTCAGGCCCTTGCACTTGCCAGGGAAGCACTTATTCCATTGAGCCATCTCCCTGGCCCTCTTTTTTTATTTTTTATTTTTTTATTTTTAAGACAGAGTCTTGTACTGTAAGTCAGGCTAACCCTGAACTCACTATCCAGTACAGGTGGCCTCAAACTGGCAGTGAAATCCTCTTGCTTCAGCTTCCCCAATGCTGTAATTACAGGCTTGTGCCACCACACCTGGGTAGATTCTAGAAACTATTCCTCAATTTTGAGAACTTGGTGTTTTAAAAAGCAAATCACATTTAGTAATGTCATGAAAATAGTAGCACCATAGGGTCTACTGAGCCAGACAATATACCTCTTAATGTGGACTTTACAGCTGTAGGTAACACTGTTAGCGATTAAAACATAAAGCAGTAAGGACTGGCACCATCATAACTCAGAAAATAAGTTGACTTACCAAGGTGTGAGCATCTTTTACCTTATGCTTGGGAGGGGCTGGCATCTGTTGTCAACTGTTAAACAAATAAATAGCAATACTTTTATAGTAGTTTAAACAATTTTGATATTTAAAATATATTGAATTCAGTAACCACTTTACACCTATAAAAGCTCATGACAGAAAGCAGTGTGGTTGATTGGTTGCTTTGTGCTCATTTACCATTGTTTTTGGCCATCATGTTCTTAATCCATTTCTTCTCATGTGGCACTGCCCACAGCCTCCTACTGAAATAAGAAGTGCTAGATGTTAGCATTTGTAGCCTCTCTTGCAGCCACGCTGCAGGCCTGTGACCTGGGCTGCAGCCAGCACCTCCATCTCGGGCTGTGAGACAGAACTGCGGATGTGCAGGGGTCCTGGGCAGCCACACCGCCCTTCCAGGCAGCAGCTGGTTGTCAGAGTTGCTGATGGTGATGGAGGAAGCGGCACACTCCGGGTTTCTCACTCTCGGAGACAGCAGTGGTGTTTCCCCAGCCCAGGGCTTCTGCATGGTGCCGTGTAGTCTGGAACCGCAGCCCAGAAGCCAGGTTTCCATGGCCCTCCTAAAAATGGGATCCTCCCATATCCTCCTATAAATGTGAGAATCAAAGTTCTTATCCAAAACTAAGATTCAACCTTGGCTCCTTGCCAAAGATGGTCCTGCACAATACTGCTTGGGAAGCATCATGTATTAAAATCCCTGGGCCATTTTCTAACAGTACCTAATACTAGGCTTGGAATGAATGGATTCCTATATACAAGACAGTTACACAACTAATTTCTCTTAGTTCACTGAAATGAAAGGTTGGTACAGGGGCCTTGGAGGTAGCTCAGTAGAACAGGCCCTGAGTTCAATCCCTGGTTCCAAAAAAAAAAAAAAAAAAAAAAAAAAAGAAAGGAAGGAAGGAAGGAAGGAAAGAAGGAAGGAAGGAAGATTGGTGCTAATATTGTTTGGACAATTAAATGCCTATATCTTGTACTCTGAGTGATTAATTTAAAGATAACAATATACAATGTGTTAACCATTGTTACCCTCCTATCATCTTTTTTTGAAAAACTTTTTTTGGCTTGTTTTTCCTCTTTAAATTTTTGTTTTTAAAAATGGATAGATGCAAAATCCTTGTGGATGCATCTTAGAAATCTACATCTTAAACAGAACTGAGATTATATGATTTTAGGAACATTAGAATTTAAGAACAGCTGTCCTCATTTTTCTAACTTTTAAAATTATTTTCTCTCTATTTAGGTTCTAAATACCTTTTGTTTTGTACTGAGCATGGAACTCAGGGCCTTTGTGCTGAGCTATACCTCAGCCACCCCTGCCTCTTCTTTATTTTTCAATTTAAGATAGGGTCTCATGAAGTCCTTTAGCTGCCAAGGCTAGCTCCATCCTATGATCCTGCTGCTTTGGCCCCTAGAGTGCTGGGATTACAGACATGCTCCCCCATGCTTGTCTCTGAGTTATTTTCCTAATTTTTATTTATTTTTAAAAATTTTTTTTGTATTTTAGGGAAGGGTTTACAGGATGTTCAGGGTCTCACTACTAGATCAGACTTGTCATGATCCACCTGTTTACAGCCTCCCAAGAGCTGGGATTACAGGCATGTGCCACTATGCCCAGTCTCAATTGCCATCTCAGCATGCCCCAGGGGCAAGGCTGGCATGGCAGGCCTGGCGATCAAACCCCTGGCCCCTGCGCCTGCTTGCAGGTGCTTTAATCTGCTGAGCTCTTTGGATGGCCCTCTGAGTTATTTTCAAAGGAAATAATTCCATCCTTTACAAAGCTGAAATCAGCTAGTGACCAGTATTTCCTTGTTCCCTTTGCTACCCCTCCATGTTTCCCATAAGCCTTTGTTTGCCCATCTAACTTTTTATCCTGGTTTATTTCTTCTCATTGAAAAGCGCCCATTTCCTGGGTGATATTGTCCATACTCAGTGGTGCCTCAATTCTCAAGCACATGCTGTGACTGTGGCTCTGTCTCAGTGGCGATTTCTCTCTTGGGCATTCTTGTAACCTGTAGGCTTAGAAACTCTACTCCAGGGATGGCTGAGACAATAAGAAGAGCTATGGGTTTGGGCCAGAAAACCTCAGGGAGGACTTGATTGAACTACTTCTGAGAATTCTGGGATCGCAGGATGTGCTGACTGAGGAGGATGTAGCACCTGCTCTGTTTCTGCAATGGAGAACTCAGTGAGGATATATGTTTCAGAGTACCTAAGTGACGACAGTGGGGTGTAAAGACCTCTACAGAGCTCCAAGTAGACAGTGTTGGTGTAAACAGAGCATGGCCTGTGCTGGCACAAAAACAAGGGGGCCAACATGTCTTAAGTTAATATTTGAACTCTGGCACATTTGGTTTTAGTAGCAGTTTCCTCATCTGCAAAATAAAAATTGTAATGATAGGTAACATTTATAAAATATCAACTACGCTCGGACCTAGTCTAAGAGCTCTATATGCTAACCCTATGACGGGTACTTTACTGCTCTGTGTTTCAAGTGCGCAGAAAGGGTATATAACTTAGCTATGATCACAGGGCTGGCATTTTGGCTTTCTAGTACTCCTTTACACATTTCCATAAACTCAGTGACTTAAGACAGTGCACGCCTGTTACAGCACCTCATTGTAGGCCAGTCACCCAGGACACAGCTCGCTCATGTTGTGTCACAAAGCTTCTGTTGAGTTGGCCTAGGGTAGGGGATCATCTGAGGTTTGGGCTGCTTTTAAGCTCATGTGGTCCCTGGAAGACTTAATTTTCTGTAGCTACAGAGCTCATGATCTTTGGGTCTCCAGTGCCTGCAGAAGACTATCTCCTATCTCTGAAAGTTCACCGTGGGTAACCCCCTTTTGATCAATTTCACACAAGCTGACTTAGGACCTTAGTGATCAACAATATTACTTCTCCTTTGAAACATAACATAGCAAAATCATGGGAGGAATGTCTGTCACCTTTGTGTGCTCTGTCAACTAGAAGCCGATTATAGGTCTTGTCTACAACCAGGAGGAGCGAATCACAGTTTTGCCTGCCACAGCTCCAAGGCTGAGGTGAAATCCACCCTGGTTCCAAGTGAGTCCATGGCCCCAGGGTTCTTGGTCTTATACACACACACTCTTCTTTTTCCCCTTGAAGAAAGTAAAATGACTACTTAGTACCTTTGCTTGGGGTTCTAAGTAAAAAGTACCTCACCACTTTTCAAATATGAATTCCCTTCACATCTCCATTTTAAAAGGTCAACTTCAAGAAACCATAACTCCCCACAGTTTTGCATCTTCTGGAAGAGATTTCCAGAAATCTTTCTTCACAGTCTAGTTATATAAATTATTTCAATGTGGTTATGTTCTTTTGCACATGGGGTTTGGGACTTGAGACTTAGGTTCTCAACAAATAATCCTAGCTCTGCTTTTTGTCTTTGAAACAGATGAAGTGATTGAGAAAAGGCGTGAACATCTTCCTTTGGCAGACAGGACGGCATGGAGCAGCCATTTACTGTGAACACACTGGTAGGTCACACCGACTGGTATTTTCCATGTGCTTGGAAAGCCAAAAAAGAATTGCCACAGACCAAAAGTGTGGTGAATCACAAGTACCTCAAGAAGTTTAGCATTTGTGTGTAGGATTTTTTTTTCTAATTAATCTGTCTGGTCCTGTCCTTTGAGGAAGTGACTAATGAAGCCATCATCACAAGATTTAAAAATAATTTTTCCCTGAAAGGTGTGAAATTTTAATTTATTTGACTAGATTCAAGAAAGGTGATCCTTTGAGAAAATGCTGGAGAGAATTTTCTAGCTGACATCACAGTGAGTACTTAACCTTCCTGTACCTCAGGTTTTCCATGGATAAGAACTGGAAGCTTACCTCCTGAGCTGCTGAGAGAAGCACTGTGAACCTCACGTCTAGCTGTTGCTTTGCCGGCCTTGTGTCAGTGGTTGTGTGCTGAAGCTTGTTCTAGCCTTGCTCCTCACAGCCGGTGTTGTATCCATCTTTTGTCGCTACATCGTCACCACCAGTGTGCATGCTTTCTCTAGTTAGAAAGTGACTGCTGAGGAGGAAATGGCTGGGGCACTGGGATCACACCGTCTTCTTCTGTGTCCCAGATCAGTCCCAAATGTGAATAGAGGCACATTACGCAATTGCTGTTGCCCTGATTTGGGACTTTGTGACAATTGGAGAAAATATTTTTCATATTCCCAGCCTCCCTGACCCACTCCCAAAAGGGGATCTTTCTGAGCAACACTGTACCAAGCACTGTACACATGCGGAGGGCGGAGCCAGGACATGAAGAGCTGGGAGGGGCCAGCCAAATAGCTCAGTGGATTACAGTGCCTGCAAGCAGGAGCAAAGCCCGGGGGTTCGCTCCCTGGGCCTGCCGTGCCAGCCCTGCCTCCAGGGCACACTGAGATGGCAATTGAGACTGGGCATCGTGGCACGCACCTGTACTCCCAGCTCTTGGGAAGCTGTAAACAGGAGAATCACTATGAGTCCGATCTAGTGATGAGACAACACCGTATAGACATTTCCTTAAAAAAAAAAGCTGAGAGGCTGGTCTTGCACAGACATAGACTGCAATCTAACATTTTTACTTGACCAGGAAAGAACTTAGTTGTATTCAAAATATATTTGAGAGATAGGGGGAGGGAGGAACATTTTTACTTTCTGAACCCATCTTGTCATTCTTCCATGTTCTAGTTTCACCCCTTTTCTACCTCCACAGACAAGGAATTATCCATACATGGCCATCTTATATGTTGTACCTGGTGAGTGCCAGGCCTATCACTGACCTGTACCCTCAGCTCGTTCTCATTTTTATTTGATACCCTTAGGGGTTATCTACTCTGTTTCAAGGAATATGCATGAGAGCAGAGATAAATGGACAGTGATTTCTTTTAAAACTTCAAGGAATCCATAAAAGGCTGGAAACACTTGTGCAGAAATAATTGATTCAGTATAGATTGCACACTAATAAAATAGGGACAGATTACTGTTGTGCATATGGGAGACTGGAAACTGCTTTAGAGCATGCTTTGATTTCCATAGATTATTTGCCAGCCTTTTTTTTTAATGTCACTGAGGCAGTTATCAGTGGTTTAGTAACCATGTTGTTGGATATGCTAGGTGAATGTGATTAGATGACAGCGGAGAAATCACAGGAGTGTTAGAGATATCATGGCTGGAAAATACTCACTCATCAAGACTGAGGCTTGAGTTCACAATCTCCCGCTCTCAATCTCAACTCTGCAGGGAAGCCTGCAATGGCCTCTCTGAAATTATAGAAGGAACTTGGTGTGGTGACATGAGCCTGTAATTCCAGCATTCTGGGAGGCTGAGGCAAAAGGATCACAAGTTGGAATCCCACTGGGACAATTTAGGGGCATTTTAGTAAGACCCTGTCTTAAAATGAAAATAGTGGGCCCATGAGATAGCTCAGAGACTAAAGCACGTGCTTAGGCAAGCTGAGGCAAGCGCAGGGACCACAGTTCAATCCCAGGCACCACATGCCATGCCAGCCCCACCCCCAAGGTGGGCTGAGCTGGCCACAGAGTCCAGCTGTGGTGGTGCACACCTGTAATCCCAGTGCTGGGGAGGCTGAAAACAAGAGGAGCACTATGGGTCTGAGCTGCATAGTGAGACTCTGTAACAACTAAATACATTAAAGAAAGAAAGAAGGCAGGAAGGCAGGAAGGCAGGAAGGCAGGAAGGCAGGAAGGCAAGAAAGAAAGAAAGAAAGAAAGAAAGAAAGAAAGAAAGAAAGAAAGAAAGAAAGAAAGAAAGAAAGAAAGAAAGAAAAGAAAGGAAAGGAAAGGGAAAGGAAAATAGAGAAGTAATAGAAATCTAGCTCAGTGCAAAGGTACTGAGTTCAATCTCCAGTACTAGAAAAACAAAACAAAACAATGCAAAAGATAAAACCCAGCTTTGTTAAGTAAAATTGTGCATGAGTTGTCAAAAAAAAGAAGAAAAAAAAAAAAAGAAAAAAACCATCTCCAGGAGTTTTAGCTAAATGATGATGTCAGACAGTGCTCCCCTGCCCTTCCTGGGAAAGGACAGGTAGGGGCGGAGCGAGGTATGTTACCTGGGCCAGCAATACCTGTGACCCCAGAAGAACTCTGCCACCTGCCAGGTGATGGGATGCAGGCTTTAATAAACTGTGGTTCTGAGTTGCAAACTTATTAGCAAGATACTTGGCTGCTATTAAAATAGGAGTTTTTATTTTAATTTATATTGTAATGAATGCTTATAATAGTACTCTACCATAAACACAAACAGCATAATCTTAAAAAAAAAAAAAGATAAAATCCATAAAAGTGCTTCAGAGAACTAGAAGAATAACACAGCAGTGTATAGATCAAAGCAAGGACATTTTTTTTAAAGCTTACATTTTTTTTAGACTGTCTCTCTGTTTTTTTTTTTTTTTTTTTTTTT